CCACAAGGTGCAACCTTAGCACCATCCCCAACCTCACCCCTGCCCACTCTCCCTGCCAGGAAGGTCACAGAACTTCTGAGGACGTTCTGTGACAGCAAGAGGCTGACCACCGACAAGGTAGGGGTGGGCTGGGGCAGGAAGGGCAGCTAGGGGGCGGGGCTCCTTGAGTGGGGCCGTGGGTGGGCGGGGCCTGGCCTTATGCTGCCTCCTGCCTTCTCCCACCACCCCCCCACCTCCGTCCCCAGGCCAATATCAAAGACCTGTCCCACATCCTGAAAAAGATGCCGCAGTACCAGAAGGAGCTGAACAAGGCGAGTTCCCATGGGTCAGGGAGGGGGACGGCGTGCCACTGCGCCTGTATCTATCTTGGCGCAGCCCGTTACCCCAACGCTGTCTCCTCACGCCACAGTATTCTACGCATCTGCATTTAGCTGATGACTGCATGAAGCACTTCAAGGGTTCCGTGGAGAAGCTGTGCAGCGTGGAGCAGGTGGGAGCGGGCCCGCAGGAGGGGTGGGGCCCGGGAGGGGCGGGGCCTATGGAAGGGTGGGGCCCTGGGAAGAGAAGTGCCTTGGAGGGGTGGGGTCTGTGGGAGGAGCAGTGTCCAGGGAGTCAGGATCTGTGAAGGGGCAGGGTCTGTGGAGGGGCAGGGTCTGTGGAGGGGCAGGGTCTGTGGAGGGGCGGGGCAGAGAGTGTCTGTAGAGGGGAGAAGCGGGGCCCAGAAAGTCTCTCCAGCCACCCTGGGGTTATCCCTACTCGCCCCATCCTACTCCACCGCCCATGTGGTGGCCGTGGGGACAGCTGGCCCTCATCCCGCAGGACCTGGCCATGGGCTCTGATGCAGAGGGCGAGAAGATCAAGGACGCCATGAAGCTGATCGTGCCGGTGCTGCTGGATGCGGCGGTGCCGGCCTATGACAAGATCCGGGTCCTGCTGCTCTACATCCTGCTACGGAATGGTGGGTGGGAAGGCATGGGGACTGCAGGGCACCCCCATTCACCGGGGTTTCCTATGATCCCGGGCACCCCTCAACCCCACAGCTCCCCTGTCTTGGGGACACCCCCACTCTCCAAGAACGCAAAACCCCACAGACACCCCTCTGGACCCTGGGACCCCCCTTCTGTTGACCTGGGGGGCCCCCATGGACACAAGGGACCTCGTTAACATGGATGCCGCAAATATGGGATCCTTCCAAACTTCGTTCCAAAACTAACTTTTGGGATCCTCCCGTCTACCCCCACAGGGCTCCCCATTCAGAATTCTAGCACCTGGATCCCCCTTGCACTAAGCCTGGGGGCTCCCTTGGTCCTAGGACTTCCTCTCAAATCCCCTTAACCCAGATACCCACTCGGTCACCCCTTTCCCCTCCACCCTCGCTGAGCCCGCCGTACATTGCCCCCGCATGACCCCCCGCCCCAGGTGTGAGCGAGGAGAACCTGGCCAAGCTGATCCAGCATGCCAACGTGCAGGCACACTGCAGCCTCATCCGGAACTTGGAGCAGCTAGGGGGCACCGTCACCAACCCCGGGGTATGTGGGGCAGAAGACGGGGTGGGGGTGGGCATAGCGTCAGAGCTTGGGTCCTGGGGGACAGAGGGTGCTTGGTCTCGTGGTGGGTGAGATGTGGTCAGAGGCCTGGACCTAGGGTTGCAGTGTGGGGCATGTGGCCGGAGTCCCTGGGATGGAAAGCAGGGTCACAG